TGCTTTCTTCTTTATTTATATAAAGAAGAAAACATATAATTGCGAAGACAAAGTTCTAGTTAAAAAATTTCAAATTCAAAAATTTTACTATATTTTGTCATTGAACTTTGAACATGTTTATAAACTTTGAACTAAACCTGAACTGAATATGAACTTGACTTAAAAGTTCAATACTGAACTGAACTGAATATGAATCTTACTTAAAAGTTCAATATTGAACATGATTGAACTGAACCTGAACCTGAACTTGACCAAAGTTTAGTTCAGTTCAGGTTTATAGAAACACTACTAAGAGTACTCTCAATGTGTTTAAATAGATATTAAAAACATGCATAAATTTCTACAATAAATCTACTTATTGGTTAAACTACTTCTAATTTCTGATCTATAATAATAATTTATGTACTTAAGAGAACCTTAAATTATATAAATAAAAATTGAAATAATATTGATTAATTAAATAAAAAATACTTAACTAAAATATTATATAAAAACCTGACATTATATAATAAAGAGTTTCATAAACCAACTTCAATCTATTAAAGATTTTTAGTGCTAAGCTTAAATTGCAGCTCATCAGCTTTGGTCTGCTTAACTCCATTGTGCAACTAAAACTGGCTTCAAAATAAGCCATTAACAGCTCTAAAGACTATCTAATATTTGGTTATTTCAATTCTGAAGGACAATAATATAAAAAAAAAACATTAATCATTATTCACTTGATGTTAAAGCAACAACAATAAAAAACGCTACACTAATACTATAATACATATTGTGGTATCCCAGATTTGAATATATGTTTTTACTTGCTATTAAACTACACTAGTCAAATATAAGAAATTTGACTACTGAATGAAATAGCCAATTCGACCTGAATTCGATAGTCGAATAATTGGCTAATTTTATATCAAATTGTTGAAACAATTCAACCTGAATTCGATAGTTGAATAATTGGCTAATTTATATTGAATTGTTGAAACAATTCAACCTGAATTTGATAGTCAAATAATTGGCTAATTTATATCGAATTGTTGAAACAATTCGACCTGAATTCAATAGTCAAATTAATTTAACAATTCGATATAAAATTAGCCAATTATTCGACTATCAAATTCAGGTCGAATTGGCCATTTCATTCGGTAGTCGAATGCTATAATAAATCGATAAGGATTCGATTACCGAATACTAACACAAAATAGGGTGATTAGTAGTTGACTACTAAACATTCAGAATAAAATTAGGTAGTCGAATATTAGGATATTTATACATAATAATATTAAAATAAATCAGACTATAATCAGATATATTTATTAATAATTAATAAGCATAGATACAAATATATATACAAAATAAAAAAAAAAATATTAAACAAAAAAAAATATTAAAAAAAAATATTAAGCTATTTGTTTACTTGGTCGTTTCACTATAATATCAGAAGCTGGTCTTTTACCACTTGCTTTGTCACCCCCATTTCCACCACCATCATTACCATCCTTACTGTCATTCTCATTATAATCACCATCCTTATCTTCATTATCTTTATCATCTTCATTATCTTCATCATTATCATCTTCATTTCCACTAGAATAAATTTCTTCATTTTCTCCACCTGCTGCCCAATCGGGTACACCTTCAGATCTCTGAACTCTCAATGTATATGATCTTCTACAGGGATGTTTTTGAGCTGGCACAATTGTCGGATCGAGGACATTATGCAACAAGTGAATTAACTATTAAAATAAAAAATAAAAAATAAATAAATTTTTATAATTAGTAAATTCGATGCCGAATAATATGGTATTTGACCTGTATTCGATTAGATTAAATGCAGGTCAAATACCATATATTAAATATTAGTTAAATTAATGTAACATTATATATTAAAGATTAGTCAAATAATATTAATTGAATTAATATGTATAACAGTATATATTAAATATTAGTTGAATTAATTTAACAAACAAAAAAAAAAAATTATATCTCACTCAACCTCCAAGATAGGCCATGAACATTAACATACAATTGTCCTCTCTCATCCGTAGCCTTACCAGGGTCCGATAGTTC